AATGCATTGAAGCAACTGCCATGTGATTGGTTGATTAGATAATTGCATTAATGAGAAATTGAACAGGTGTTCCTAATAATCCTTTAGGTGAGTGTATATATTGGTATGTAGCCTCTCTTGTTTCTAATGAAGATTATGCAGTAGTATTGTACAAGTAAAGAACACATACATGAATACTGTAATATAGAATGCATGTTTCATTTTTACTGTATAGTATTAGCCTACTGTATATACAATATACATAAAAACTTTGAAGTGCTGTATATATACAGTATGGGTGTTACAGTATTTTGGTTACATACAGTTGCAAGAAAAAGTATGTTGGAATCATATGGATTTCTGCACAAATTGGTCATAAAATGTCATCTGATCTTCCTCTAAGTCACAACAATAGACAAACACAGTCTGCTTAAACTAATACCATACAAATAATTATATGTTTTCATGTTTTTATTGAACACACCATGTAAACATTAACAGTGCAGGTGGAAAAAGTATGTGAACTCTTGAAGTTAATAACTGGTTGACCCTCCTTTGGCAGCAATAACCTCAACCAAACGTTTCCTGTAGTTGCAGATCAGACCTGCACAACGGTCAGGAGTAATTCTTGACCATTCCTCTTTACAGAACTGTTTCGGTTCAGCAATATTCTTGGGATGTCTGGCGTGAATCGCTTTCTTGAGGTCATGCCACAGCATCTCAATTGGGTTGAGGTCAGGACTCTGACTGGGACACTCCAGAAGGCATATTTTCTTCTGTTGAAGCAATTCTGTTGTTGATTTACTTCTATGCTTTGAGTCGTTGTCCTGTTGCATCACCCATCTTCTGTTGAGCTTCAGTTGGTGGACAGATGGCCTTAAGTTCTCCTGCAAAAGTCCTTGATAAACTTGGGAATTCATTTTTCCTTCGATTATAGCAATCTGTCCAGGCCCTGACGCAGCAAAGCAGCCCCAAATCATGATGCCCCCTCCACCATACTTCACAGTTGGGATAAGGTTTAGATGTTGGTGTGCTGTGCCTCTTTCTCCACACATAGTGTTGTGTGGGTCTTCCAAACAACTCAACTTCGGTTTCATCTGTCCACAGAATATGGGCCGTGGGGTTTCTGGCTCGTGCTCGCCGGTGGGGGGCGCCCGATGGCTCCCCCCTCTGCCTCCTTGGGCGGACGCACAGCCCTCCAGTGGCGGGGTGCCTGGCCGCTGGGGGGCGGCTGGGTCCATGATCGCTCGGGGCTCTCCTGGCCGTCTGGGGGGCCCCGGGGCGGCGTTGTTGTGGTCTCGCACACTCATTGGGAATCATTCCATGTTAACCTGCACATTCATACATACACTCACAACACACAAACATACACACATACACACATGCGCACACACACACGTACATATGCACACGCACACACATACACATACTTTCACATCCACACACATACATATAGAATGCGCACACACATACGCATGCACGTGCGGGCGCACACAGACACATGCACACACAAGAGACAGGGTCGGGTCCCTCCTTGCCACCTTCAGCATTCCCTCTGACTCCTCCCTCGCTATCACTGAGGGTCCCTCCTACTCCGGCCTCGCGATCGCCTGCTGCCCCTGCGGCTTCTGCCTCTCACCACCCGGGGTGCCCTCCAGCTCCCCATTTCCCCCTGCCCTTTGCTTCCTGGCCCCCTGCCTTTGTGCCACCTGTGTTTGCTCCCCGTCCCTCTGTGCCTTTGTTCCCTTCTGGTCCCTTTGTGCCTCCTGTGGGTTTGTCCCCTGGTTTTGTCCCTCCATTGTCCCCTTTAGTGTTCCCTGGTCCTGTGTTTCCATCGTTGGTGCCCCTATGTTTGTCCCAGTTCCCCGTGGTTTGTTGTTTGTTGTCTGAGGTGTTCTCCTTGTGTCTGTTTTGTGTGTCCATTCTGTTCCCCGTGGTACGTTGATGTTTTTGCTTTTGTTCTCCCAGGTGCTGTTGTGTCCCTGGTCCCCGTAGCTTCGCTCCCCTTAGGCGTGCCCAGAGTGCGCACTTTTTGGGGGGGGGGGGGGTCCTGTCCTGCCCTGATTATCCGCTCTTTCTGTGTGCCACGCCCCCTCGTGTGGATTCCCCGTGTTTACTTGCTGTCATTAGTTTAATGTATTTAAGTCTGCGTTAGGTATGTTTTCCCCAGTCCAGTCATTGAACCTAACGTCCGTCTTGTGATGATCCTTGGTGTTTTCCTAATAAACCCTCATTCCCCAACTCTCCGTCTCCCTGTTCCTGCTTCCCCAGTTACGAGGCGACATCATTATTCATTTTCAAGGTTATCTAGTATACAGTGACCCCCACCTATCGCGTAAGTTACGTTCCAGACCTATGAGCGATATGTAAAAATCTACCATATAGAAAGACTGTATAAACATTTTTTTTTATAGTTTAAGCATTAAAATATCCCTCCCAAATGCTTCAAACACATGTAAACGTATTAAAACACACTTTGCAAACACATATGACATGTGGATGTTGGGCTAAGGATATTAGTAACACATCTCTCTCTCTTTGTATATGTGATGGAATATGTAAAAATAAAAACATTTTAAGCTCAGTAAGGGTAAGATTGGGAGCCATCATAGGGCTTAAAACAAAACAAAAAGTTCACAAAAAGTTTGTTCACAACAATCGGACCACAAGCAAGGTACGCAGAGAACTGTGATGCGTCGGGAAAAAATCTGTGATACAGTGGGGGTGCGATAGCTGAACTGCAATATAGCAGGGGATCACTATACGTGTAAAAAAGTTTACCTCTGCTGCTTTTGTATGAGCGCTGCATGTGTTGTCCGAGATAATCATTTTCATCTTTGCCGTTTAAATCACTCCTAGACAGGTTCATGAGAAATTTATATTGAACTCCTTTTTTTGTTTCCAATATTTCTTACAACAGTATCACATTGCATTATTTGAAAAATTTCCAATACCATGCTGTCACAGTATATTATACAAAATACTTTATTTCTTGTTATGCTATCCTGTTATGCTATCTTATTGTATCTGTTCATCTGAACAGATCGCAATTAAAGCTTGTGTCACTTCATTTGTCCACACATCCATTATTATCAATATTATTTTTTATGTCTGTGACAAAATAAGTCAATCGGAAAAAGCCCAATACTAACAAGCTGACAGAAGCCTTATTACCACCTATCGTAGCAGAATCATGCATGTATACTGGGACAAGGACAGTAGTCTGATTAAATGTAGTCGAGCTATAACTGTAGCTCGACTAAGCTGTGCATGTAAATATAGTGAGTGTCACTGCCCCCACACCCATCACTTTGGAAAGTCAATATGAATTGTAAGAAAAGAAGACACAATAAAAGCCTTATTACAGTTTATTTTACATGCAATGGATAAAGTAAATGTCACAAAATAAGTGAGTAAGTGGATAAAGTAACAATACAACATAAGTATGGAAATGGAATGTTACAAATCAGGTGAGTAAATGATTAATGTAACTACAGCATAAGTAAATAAAGGGCATGGTATTGTGATACAGTTTTTACAATCTGTTGCACAGGCAGAGAAGTTTCAAACTACTTCCATGCAAGTTGATTTATGAGTAAGTCTTTATGAGTTTAACGCTCTGAACCTAATACAATGGTGATGCATAAAATAGTTCTTCTGTGAGACAAAGCGATACACTGATGCATAAAAAAGTTAATATTACTGCATAGAATTCTAACCAGGATGCGTAAGGACCTGCCTTGTTCCGGGTATTGTACCAAAAAAGTCCCCTTTGGGGGTATTTCCCATTTATGCTGCCTTCTGGGGTTCTTTCCACCTTCCCTCACCTAGGAACACGACACCAAGCCCAACTGCCCTAACAATAAGCCTGATAATCTAGCTCACTTAGTACACCTAGCAACTCCTCTGTCTCCCCATTAACTTTCCATGCCAGTCCCTGACAAGTAAATGATTGTACATTTGTCCATAAATGATTGCAGACTGGTGTCAATCTAATAAATGTAACCAACATAGTCATGGCTGCTTAGATTCCTGTAAATCACATGAGAAAAAGGGGAGGTCTTACAAGCTGTGTCTTTACAAAGTGCCAGTAAAAAGCCTCAGTCTCATTTTTCCCTCTATAAAGGCAGCACTGTCTGTTATATTTCAACACATACACCCATGGTACAACTGCGGAATTGGTGTTTTTCTGTTCTACTCTAAAAAAGTGTATTCTGTTCCAATGCATCAAACAGTGGATTTTGTACTTCTATATTTACATAGGTCAGCCAGATGAACACATACAAACCAGACCACATCAAAGCCAAGGTAAGCATATGATTCATATGGGTTTAAGTTATTGAATGTACAGTTTTTACAATTATTTCATTTACATCTACATTTATGCCCAGCATTTACAGAATTATAAAAGGTATAACGAATTAAGTCAAGTTTAACTGCACATATTTCACAATTGCAGAAAAGCTTACTTTTTGTGAAGATAGAGGAAAATAGCCAGTGGTCTTTCCCCCTATGGTGCTTGTGTTTTGTTTAATTATATTGCTTTTTGCTTTCTTGTAACAACTAATGCTATATGCTTAGCTTCATATCTACCATTTCTCCATATCATTTGACTGTTGTTATGTATAACTAATATTTAGTTCATGTCTTTCTTACATTAAATAAGAAGTCTCCCCCACCCTTTTTTACCTTTTTAGTGAAAGGAATGTTCTGAAAGCACCAACGCTCGCTGGTGCCTGCTCCTCATTGCACAAGCTTAAACTTGCATTCCAAGTTCCAGTGGATAAACATCTCAGTGGTTCACTTACTCTTTCAAACATTGTGATTACCTAAGATCCTCCGAGCACAATACAGAAATTGTAGACCTGTCATTAATATAGTAGTAAAAGCCAGGTAACTCATTTATAATGGGTTTATATGAAGGAAAAGGAAACATACATACACATTTATACAAAGATTTTAGGAGTTAAAATAAAAACTTATCCTGCAGGGAGCAGAAAACAGTGAAATTGAGAGTTCAGATAGAAATGAGCAAGTTTTAGCACTTGGTGAAATGTGCCTTAAATACAGAAACATTTTACCTGATAACAGCCGTTTTTGACTGCCACGATCAATTCTGATGGAACTGTTTGATGAATTAGTCACAACTCTTGAACGACCTACATTTTGAAATCATGCTATTCCTGTCCATCGTTAAGTACTGACAACTCTTGGATTTTTAACGAAAGGAACATTTCAACAGGAACTGGCTGTCAGCACGGGGATATACAGTACCAGCCCATTATTCCTCCAGTTGTAGCTGGTATTAATGGACTGTCAAGACAGAATATGGTTTCCCTGTGGACAAACAGGCAAGAGTTACAAAGCAGTTTGCAGCGAAGTCTGGCTTTCCTAATGGCATCAGTGCTATTGAGTGCACGCACATTACAATAGAAGGTCCATCAGAGGATAAAGCTGCTGTTTATTTGGATATAAGCTTTTTTTTTTTTTAAGGTAAATGTCTGCAATTTTGGTTGAAATTTATGACAATATATGATAATATACCATCTAACTTTTAGAGTAATTATATTTATATATTTTACACAAACCCGGAAGCATTTCTGGAGCTCTTAGTCAGAGGAACGGTCGGCGGTTTGTGGCGCACTAGTGAAGCTGCGACAGCTGCCCAACAAGCTGCTTCTCCTAAATGGAATTAATAAGGACTTTGCGCGCTCTGCTGCCCTTTGTTTCACTGAAACCTGGCTCAGTGAAACGATCCCCGACAACGGACTGTGTCTGCCGGGCTTTCATCTGCTTCAAGCGGATCGCGTATCTGAGCTATCGGGAAAGACGAGAGGCGGCGGCATCTGTTTCTACGTAAACGAAGGTTGGTGTACAGATTTCACTGTACTAGCCAAGCATTGCAACAAGGACTTGGAGACACTGTTCATCAACTGCAAGCCATTTTATTCACCGTGGGAGTTCTCCTCCTTCATCCTGGTCGGTGTGTACATTCCACCTCAGGCCAGCGTGAAGGATGCACTGCAAACCCTGGCTGAGCAGATATCCAGCCTGGAACAGAAGCACTCAGACTCCCTCTTCATCATCCTTGGGGACTTCAACAGAGCTCAATTAAACCACGAACTACCAAAATACAGACATCATATTAACTGTCCCACCAGGGACAATAAAACATTGGACCACTGCTACGCAGTCCTTAAAGATGTATATTGCTCTGTTCCCCAGGCAGCTCTGGGGCACTGTCTGGTCCATCTCATCCATACGTACAGGCAGAAACTGAAATCGGCTAAGCCTGTGGTCAAGACAGTAAAGAAATGGACTAATGAGGCAAAACAGGAACTATAGGACTGCTTTGACTGCACTGACTGGAGCATTTTTAGAGCTGTAACCAACAACCTGGATGAATGGTCTGACACTGTGATGTCATATATCAGTTTCTGTGAAGACACATGTGTCACTTCCAAGACCTTCTGCATATTCAACAATAACAAGCCATGGTTCACAGCAAGTCTACGTCAACTTCGTCAGGCTAAGGAGAATGCCTACAGAAGTGTACAAGCAGACCAGAAACCTACTGACTAAGGAGGTCAAAGTGACTAAAGGAAGCTACGCAGAAAAGCTGAAGAACAGGTTTTCAGCCAATGACCCTGCAGCAGTATGGCGAGGCTTGCATGAGATAACTAATGGTGAGTTCGTTTTTCTCTCGGAACTCGGAAATTCCGAGTTGAGTGACATCACGTCCGACATTCTCCCGTTCGAGCTACCCACATCTCGGAACAAACATGGCTGCCTCCATGAACACGTTGCTGTGTGTTGTTGCTTTATATTTTAGCAGATTTGGAGTTTTCCAAATGGAGAAATGGAGATTTTTCCGAGAGACAAACAAGAAACACGAACCAGTCAAACCACATTAAAAGCTTTTTATTTTAGTACATTCATAGCGATATTCGTTTTTCGATCGGTAAACAAACTACAAACAAACTAAGTCGCCATGTTGAAATTACGTCACAGGGGCAACTTAGGCAACAAAATCTGGTCCGACTTCAACGTCATAAAAGGGGCGTGTTTCCGACGGGAAGTAACGTTTTTCGTGACGTTTCGTGACGTTTTCATCCGAGTTCCGACTTGGAGAGAAATAATCGAACGCACCATAACTACAGGAGACCACCCCTCCCTTGCTGAGGCAAACAAAGACCTGGCTGACGACCTGAATGACTTCTATTGTAGGTTTGAGAGAAACAAATTCACACCCCACTCCAGCCCAGCAACAATAGCCTCCATCACACCTCTGGCAGTGCCCCCTCCCGCCCTGGATACACAGGCTACACTCAAGATATCTGAAAAGGATGTGATCCAGCTCTTCCGGAAACAGAAAACCAGGAAAGCACTGGGCCCAGACGGTGTCTCCCCCTACTATCTCAAAGTCTGTGCTGACCAACTGGCTACAGTCGTCACGCAGATCTTCAACAGATCCCTGGAGCTGTGTGAAGTCCCCTCCTGCTTCAAAAGCTCCACCATCATCCCAGTCCCCAAGAAACCCTCCATCACAGGACTGAATAAGTACAGGTCTGTTGCTGTGAATGACTGGTGCTAGGCCACCTGAAGAACACCACTGACCACCTGCACGATCCCCTGCAGGTTGCCTACCGGTCAAATAGGTCAGTGGATGACTCAATCAACATGGGTCTGCACTTGATCCTGAAACACCTGGACTACCTAGGGGCTTATGCACGGATCCTGTTTGTGGACTTCAGCTCAGCTTTTAACACAATCATTCCCGAAATCCTTTCCTCCAAACTATCACAACTCCACTTTTCCCTTGCCATCTGCAAGTGGATCACCAGCTTCCTAACAGACAGGATGCAGCATGTGAGACTGGGGGACGTGTCTTCTGGTACATAGACAGTCAGCATTGGTGCTACCCAGGGTTGTGTTCTTTCCCCACTGCTCTTCTCCCTCTACACTAATGACTGCACCTCCAATGACCCAGCAGTCAAATTCCTGAAGTTTGCAGATGACACTCCAGGATGGTCATGCGTCTGCATATCGGTGGGAGGTTGACCGGCTGGTGTTCTAGTGCTGTCAGAACAACCTGGAGCTTAACACGCTCAAGACTGTGGAGATGACAGTGGACTTTAGGAGGCATCGTTAGGGACTTCTTCCTCTCACCATATCCAACAGCCCCGTGGCAACGGTGGAGACCTTCAAGTTTCTGGGAACAACCATTTCCCAAGACTTGAAGTGGGAGCCCAACATCAACTCCATCCTCAAAAAGGCCCAGCAAAGGATGTACTTCCTGCGGCAACTAAGATGGTACAGTCTGCCATGGTTGCTGCTGAGCCAGTTCTACACTGCTGTCATTGAATCTGACCTTTGCTCCTCAATCACAGTGTGGTTAGGAGCAACCACTAAACAGGACCAAGGGAGACTGCAGCAAACAGTGAGGGCAGCGGAAAAAATCATCGGTGTCCCCTGCCCTCCATCGGGACTTGTACTACACAAGGACTAGGAAACGGGCAGATAAAATCATTGCAGATCCGTCACCCACTGGACACAATCTTTTCCAACTCCTCCTCTCTGGCAAGCACTACAGAACACTGTTTACAAAAACCACAAGACATAGGAGCAGCTTCTTCCCTCAGGCTGTCACCCTCATAAACAACTAAGCTGTGCCACCTGCCTTCTGTAAATTTTGCCCCCCTTAAACTCTGTTTTGCACTCAACCTCGCACCTGTGTTACCTATGTGTGTATATTTCAAATTGTATAGTGTATAGTCTTGTATAGTGTAATTTATTGTTTGTACAGCGTCATTTATTGTCTGTGTACTAGGGAGTCTCTAGCAGCCGAAACCAAATTCCTTGTGTGCCCCAGCGCACTTGGCGAATAAAGCTGATTCTGATTATGATATAAGCTAATTATTCATTTTTATTATTTTTTATGAAATCTATCAATATAATTTCTTTATTTAGTACTAAACTAAACATTTCTGACCACTGATTAAGATTATCTAGATATTTAGTATGGGCTATAAACACTGTTTATAAATTTCAAGCTGTCAAAATTACAAAATGTAATTTACATCTAAATTAAATCTAAAGCAAAATCTAAATGTAACTTGAAGATTTATATGTAGATTTTGTATGTAGTAAATTTAATATGTAATGGATATAATTAGTTTTTATTAAAAAAATATATTGGATTTATATTTAGGACTTTGGTATAGAATATATGTTATAAATCCTAAGTACCTCCTCACACATTTTACATTTACATAAATGGGGCAGCACAATGGCACAGTGGTTAGTCC